GTCTAAATTATTCCATTGATAAAAAATCTGGCCTTAAGCCTCCTACTGAATCAAGCCAGGACAAGAATTCTGTCAGCCATTTTGACCTCGGTCGGCCATTTTCTCTAAGCAGCATAATCTCAGAAATTCAAGGGGCGATTTCATTCCCTGAGCTCAAAATATAAATTGATCACATTCAATTTCACCATTTCAAACAGGAATAGACAAAGACAACCAAACAAAAGAATCAAAACTTCCCATATTCTTTCCAGAAAACAACCCATTAAACCACATGGCCATATCTGACCTCTGGCTAGCCAAAGAAGTAAAGCTACCATGAGGCAGAGGTCAAACAAATGTCCACTCAACATCCTTTTTTATTGGGGGCTCATATAACTCATCACAATCCATATATTCATCCATAGTTTCAAGGACATATGTACATTTGTTGCTGTCATTCTCAAAACATTTTCTTTCTCCTTGAGCCCTTGGTATCAGCTCATTTTTTTCCCTGCCCTCCCACACATGCAACATCTTTATGATTTCTTGCTCTAGTACCCCACTCCCAAGGTACCTTAATGTTTTAGTGTGGCTATACTAGAGAAACAAATCCAGGAAGACTTGTATAAGAGAAAACTTTATATCAAAGAGTAATTTTATATATATATATATATATTTTTTTTAACATTTTATTAGGGGCTCATACAACTGTTATCCCAATCCATACACACATCAATTGTGTAAAGCGCATTTGTACATCGTTTCTCAAAACATTTTCTCTCCATTTAAACCCCCGACATTAGGTCCTCATTTTTCCCCTCCCTCCCCGCTCCCCCCTCCCTCATGAGCCCTTGATAGTTTATAAATGGGTATTTTGTCATATCTTACCCTGTCCGACATCTCCCTTCACCCACTTTTCGGTTGTCTGTCCCCCAGGGAGGAGGTCACACACAGTTCCATGTAATCGGTTCCCTCTTTCCTACCCTTTCTCCCTTTACCCTCCCTATTTTGCCACTCACACCACTGGTCCTATAGGGCTCATCCGTCCTGGATTCCCTGTATTTTCAGTTCCTATCTGTACCAGTGTACCTCCTCTGGTCTAGCCAGTCTTGCAAGATTGAATTCGAGTCATGGTAGTGGGAGCGGGGAGGAAACATTTAGGAACTAGAGGAAAGTTGTATTTTTCATCATTGTTACATCGCACCCTGACTGGCTCATCTCCTCCCCGAGACCCCTCTGCAAGGGGATCTCCAGTGGCGTACTAATGGGAGTAATTATATATTAAGAAAATATCCCAGCCCAGTCCAGATCAAATCCATAAGTTCAATATTAGCCTATATCTCAGACCAATCTATAAAGTCCTCTTCATGCTCAAGCAGCCATGCAGTAATGCTGAAAGCAGGAAGATCACAGGCCAGTGGGTGGCAGTCTTGTGGAACCAGTGGCAGTAGAAGTATCTCTGGCTGGCATGCGTCTTCAGGTAGCTTCTCCAGCTCCAGGGCCCTATCTATCATCAACTTAGCTCTGTGTGGCTTGTCATCAGGAATATCTCAGAGGGAGGGAATGTGTCCCGCCTCTAGCAAGCTATTTATTTCTGTAGTGCCTCCAAATGAGGTCATCAAGCTGCGACCTGATTAACAGGCTAAACTCCACCCCTTTATTTGTAAGTCGCAAATTGACAACAGATTATGTAACTACCCCATACCACCCCTTGTCAATTTGACACTTTCACACAACTTTTTAGCCATATATAATTTTCAAACAATAATAAAATAACTGTACCTAACAGGATAAAACTAAAGTGCATACAGTTCAGTATGTGCCACCTTCATTAAGTGAACAAACCAAAAATATCCTATACCTAACAATTGCAGTTTAGTAAGTATACCTTAATCCTATAATCCTATGAATATATTCCCCTATCAATGAAATGATTATAAGTCAGACACTTCATGCCTATATTCGCCCAATTTGGAGTATCCAATTTCTATACTGCCCACTTACATCAACCTGGTTGGTTGTCTGAGGAGACAATCATATTGTTTGATTTGAAGAATCTTCATTCCAGTTGAACTTTGTGAAGTCTGCATCCATAAGCAAAGTCAAATCTGGACAGGCCATCTGAGTTAGTTAATTGTGCCAGCCTGGCTGATAATCACATGTGGGGCTGGTTGAAAGGCAGAGGGATAAATGGGTGGTGAAGCCTCGCCTTTCTAGTTCTTGGGTCTCTTGTTTTGTGTGATAGTTGCACCGGGTGCAGCTGCCTTAGCAGTTCCCTGCTTCAGCTTGCAAGATGGACTTCCTACAAGACATCCCCAAGGAGAAGCCACATGGACCTATCCCGATGCAGCCCTGGGTGCTGGAGCAGCCGTGTGGAGACCCCTGCTAGTGCTGAGATGCTTGTACGTTCACTGACTCAGCTTTCCTCCTGCAGTAGGCATCATTGCCTCTGTTTTGTGAGGTGGAAGACTTTGTGGACTGGTGTTGGGTTAATGGGTTAATGTTGGACTTGTGGGCTTGGGCAGCATTGGGTTGGGATGTTTTCGTGATGCACATTTTCTTTACATAAAACTCTCTCTTATACATGAGTCGCTGTGGATTTGTTTCTCCAAAGTACCTAGACCAATACACCATCCATAAAGTCTGCAGCAGTATTCACTAGTTCATAGGCTCAAAAGTCTTCTCTTCATCTATTTGGTTCTGGTCAACTCAATGTGGGCTGCTTCACTTAGCTTCACCAGGGTGCTCATTGGCTACCCTCCCTTTAGACCTTAGGTCCTGTCACAAATTCTGAACAACCCTAGCCCCTTTGTGCTAGGTCATGAACTTCAGACCAGTCAACCCACTCTTGTCTTCTCTAGTCCCTGTGAACCAGGTCCATGGTGTTAGTGACCAGACTCAACCCGTCTCTCTATTGCTGCTTTTTCCCACTTCGGTTCAACAACTGGATCCAGGTGGTCACCTAGCAATCATTTCAGCTTGCCCACAGGTTTCCTTTAATGTGTAGTCCTAGAGTGGAGTTTTCTTCATGCTTCCAGATTTTTTCCAGCCTCAAGCACAAACCACTAGTTCAGAATTCAAAAATCTCGAGTTCCTTTTTTATCAAACTGTGAGCAGCCCATAGGCAGGTCTCTTGGAATGCAAATAGCTGAGTACTCCAAAGCTCTGGGTGGGGCTAATCTTTACAGAGCCTTCTTTCTAGGTGAACCCTAACCCATTTAAAGAATCAAGTTTTAATGGCGAATGGCAAGGCTTACAAAGTCTATTTTCATACTTCCCAATAAGCATTTCTATCAATCATATCAATAATATTAGGCAGAATTAATCAGTAAAAACAAAGTAGAATTCAATCCTAAATTCAGTTCTTAAAATATTCAAGCTCCAGTCTTATCTAGTTTATCTTAGTCCTTATTTAAACTATTCTACTGATACACAAATATGTGATTGGGCCTCTGACAGCATAAGCCAGGCAGACTCTGTCAGCCATTTTGACCTTCTGTTAGCCATTTTCTCTAAGCAGCTTTGAGAAATTCAAGGGATGATTTTGTCCCCTGAGCTTTAAAATATACATTAATCACATTCATTATTGTCATTTCACACAGGAATAACCAAAGACAACAAACAAACAAAACTTTAACTTCTTCCAGAAAACAACCCAATAAAACTCATGGACATATCTGACCTTTGACCAGCCGAAGAAGAAATACTTCCATCTGGCAGAGGGCAAACAAACATCTACTGTCCAATTTTATGATTTCTCTAGTACCCCACTCCCAAGGTAACATAATGTGGTGGACTAGAGAAACAAAATTCATACACACGCATATGTATGTAAGAGAGAACAATATCAAAGAGTAATTGTACATTAAGAAAACATCCCAGTCAGTCCATAAGTCCGATATCACCCCATATGTCAATACTAGTGCATAAATTCTTCAGACTCACGCAGCCATGCAATGACACCGAATGCAGAAAGATCACAGGCCATTGTGTGGAAAGTCTTGTGGATCCAGTGGCAGCACAAGCCTCTCAGCACTGGTGTAGGTCTCCACGTGGCTACTCCAGCTCCCAGAGCTCTGGCTGCATTCTCATAGCTCCTTGTGGTTTTCCAGCAAGCATATCTCACAGGGACTGTGGTGTGTCCCACCTCCAGTAGTCTACTTATCTCCTTAGCACCTTCAATTGAGGTCATCAAGTGGTGATTGACAGGCTCAACTCCACCCGTTCACTCATAAGCCACAAATTGACAACAGAGTGTGTAACCACCACACTCCTATAAACAGTCTCAGAACCCCAAAGGACATCACTCTCAGTCAACCTTGACTCAGTATTGTTGAGTTTGGGTTTTTTGCATACTGTACTGTTACTGTTACCCGTTGTATCAGTTACCTGTACCATGGTGGATACATGACCTATCATTATTAACTGATATTCTTCATAAATTTTTAGTACTGTTGAGTGTTCTTGAGTAAACTTTGTATTTCTAATTTTAGGATATTCTTCTAATCTAATTATGCTGAACTGTCTTGATTTGTCTTGAGAAGAATGGTTTTTTCATAGTACTCGTTTTGGGTGTTAAGTAGATTTTAGCATTTTTCTGAGATGTAAATTCATTACTAGCAATTTTATATTTTAAATTTCTCCATATAGAAGCCTAATCATACCCCGCCTGCCCCTCAGTATCTCCCACAACTCCTGCCCTTCTCTGTTTTATTTATTCTTCATATTTGGAATGCAATATATGATTGATACAAGCATAATGCTTTCAGTACAGACACATTCATACTATAACTCTTCTAGATTTCATTTCTTTTTCAAATAGTATTACTAGCACTTTGGGTAGACCTCATTGGCTATAATATTGCCACTGCACAAAGCTAGATTTCATTTCTTTTTATATCACTTATTTCCCACCTTTTTTTTTTTTTTTTAGAGTAATGATATTATGAACATTTGTGTACAAGTTTTTATTTGGACATATATTTTCAGTTCTTTTATTTGGGATTTTCTCTTGTCACCAGGAATTGAATGTTAGGAAGGTTACACTGTCTACAGATAAAACTAAATATGGTATTCGGCTAAGAGCTGAGCCTGATCACATGGTCCTTGGGAAGCGACTAAAGGGAGCCTTTAAAGCAGTGATGACTTCCATCAAGCAGTTAAATGATGAGGACCTGGAGACGTTTCAAAAGAGCGGTAGGTGTTTGGTGTAACTACTCTCCTCAGATCGGTTAAAGTTGGGTGCTTATTTACTATACCAGATCATTTTTTTCTACAAGTCCACAAACTTTTGTAATGTACTCTGATAATTTAGTAAAATTTAGTGAGAAATTAATGATACTAAATCATCAGACAATTGTTAATATGTTTAGTGTTTCCTGTGTTTAATTTTCTGGGTAAGGGCACTAATAAAACTGATTAATTTTCTTCCATTGCTGTCTCAGTCTCACTGCCATCAAGTTGATGCTGACTTGTAGACACTGTAATTCGGGGTAGACGTGCCCCTCCGGGTTTCAAAGACTAACTCTTTACTATGGGAATAGAAAGCCCCATATAGCTCGCTCAGGCAGCTGATGGTTACACATTGCTGACTTGGCAATTATCAGCCTAACATATAACCACTTTGCCACCTGGGCTCCATTAATATACAGACATATAATTACAGCCTTTCAAAATTGAGATCGCACTGTAATTAGAAACAAAAATTTTACTAATATTTTGTACATCTTTAATTTTCATTCATATTTTTATTGTACATTGCTCATTTTACATTGTAAACATGGTCATATGAATGTTATTTTATAACAGTTTTTCTATTTTATGAATATCTGATATTATATTTAAGTCTTATTTTTTATGCTTTATGCTATTCCCTGTTTATGTTTTAAATGATATTATACTGTATATTTGTGCATGTAAAACTTTGGTGGAATATATTTCTTTAGGCACTATTTTTTTTCGCAAAGGAATTCTACGATGCCATGGGTTATGCATTAGGCTGCTAACTACAAGGTCTGCACTTTGAACCTACCTGCTATTTTGTGGGTGAAAGAGGAGTATTTCTGATTCGGTAGATTTTCATCCTCAGAAGCTGAAAGGAACACTTCTACTCCGCCCCGTAGGGTATCTGTGACCCTAAATTTGCTCTATGACAGTAGGTTTGGTTTGGTGTTTGTCACATTCTGCAACAGTGAGATGAGTTAGAGCAGTGGTTCTCAACCTTCCTATTGCCATGACCCTTATATACAGTTCCTCATGTTGTGATGAGCCCCCCAACCATAAAATTATTTTCATTGCTACTTCATATCTGTAATTTTGCTACTGTTATGAATTGGGCAACCCCTTTCCCAGAGGTTGTGGACTGCTGAGTTAGAAGGTGATTATCCTTTGCAACTCTGTCATGAGGATTTCAATAAGAAGTGGTGCAATATAAATTACACAAAAATAAAGAAATAAAATAACAACAACAAAAGTGGTGTCATATATTGATAGTGGTATAAATTGAATGGAAGACTGGGCTGATTGTAACTGTGACAATTGTTTCTCCAAAAGGAACCATTGTGGTGGAAGGCCATGAATTGCACAAAGAAGATATCCGTTTCATATATACCTTTGATCAAGCTACACAGGGCACTGCACAGTTTGAAGCACACTGGGATACTCAGGTAATCTCCTGATCCCCAGAATATTTCTTTAAATAATGAGGTGAGAACATAAGTATGCCTTTGTTGATAATGATTCCTTGTATTAGGGTTGCATTAACTTCACTGTATATCTTTGAATTTATATATTTGATTAGTGAATGCATAAACTCTTTTCTTTGTTTCTTTTTTATTTTTTTAAAGATAATAAAAAATTGGGGGTTTCTGTTGTTCGTCCCCCTGGGAGAGATGGGTGCGGGGTGTTATGTGTCATTTTTTCTCCCCACCTTCCCCTACCCTACTCCCATTTCTGTTCCTGAGGGTTTATCTGACCTGGATTCCGTGTGTTGTAAGCTTTTATTTGTAGCAGTGTTTATGCTCCAGGCTGGCCCAAAGTGAAAAGCAGGACTAGGGTCATGTTGGGGGGGGATGACGATGCCTCAAGGAACCAGAGAAATATTGTGTGTTTCATCGGTGCTATACTGCGCCCTTGTGCACTTATCTCTTCCTTGTGACCCTTCTGTGAGGGGTTGCCCCATTGTGTACAGATAGGTTTTATTTTTTAATTCGTTTTATTGGGGGCTCTTACAGTTCTTGTCACAGTCCATACATATATCTATTGTATCTAGCATAATTGCACATATGTTGCCATCATTTTCAAAACATTATCTTCTTTTTTTTTGAGCCCTTGGTATTGGCTCGTTTCCCTCCCCCTCCCCCCCCACCCCGCCCACCCTCATTATCCCTTAATAATTTATAAATTTTTATTTTCATGTCTTTCACCATCCACTGTTTCCCTTCACTCACTTTTTTTGTTGTCCATCCCCCTGGGATGGTGATGTGTTGATCATTGTGATCAGGGTTTATCTGTCCTGATTCCCTGTGTTGCAATCTCTTATCTCTACCAGTGTATTTGCTCTGATCTGTCCGTATTTATAAAGTAGAATTGAGGTCATGATAGGGTGTGAAGAGGAAGAGTTAAAGAACTAGAGGTAAGTTGTGTGTTTTGTTGGTGCAATACTGCATCCCGGCGGGCTCGTTTTTTTCCTTGTGACCCTTCTGTTAAGGGGATGTCCAATTGTCTACAGATGTGCTTTGGGTCTCCATTCTGCCCTCCCCCTCATTCACATCAATATGATTTTTTGTTCCGGGTCTTTGATACGTGTGTGTATCTGTTTCATTCTTGCCTTCTTTTCTCCGTTGAGCTAACAGTATCCTGCAGATTTTCTCTTTGTTGACCTCTGGGTGGAGTAGTTCTTTGTTGTGCTCTCTAATTTGTGCTCAGTGAGTGGTGTTCTCCTGCCTATACTGGGTCGGCAAGGATGTTTGATAGAGCTGAGTTTCTTTTAATGTATTCTTTGATCTTTTCCTTGCTTGGGAAGACTCATACTTTCCATCTATCTTGATAGATGATTTGGCTGGATAGAGTATTGTTGAGTTTGTGTTATTTTCCCTCAATTTTCAGAATATATTATTCCCTAGCTCTTCTTCATAGTATCTGCTGATAGGACTGAGCATATTCTTATTTGAGTGCCTGTGTAGGTAACTGCATCCCCCACCCCCACCCCAGCTGCTCTTGTGACTTTCTCCTTTTCATCAAAGTTGGGTAGTTTAACTATTACCTGCCTTGGTGACTTCTTCTTGGGATTCAGTCTAGCTACTGGATTTTTTGTGTGGTTGTTTTTTGGCCTCAAATGTTTGCCTGGTTTTCATTCATTGAGCTGGGAAAGTTTTCTTCCAAGAATTCCCTCGCTATTTTTGTCGAGACTTTGTTTTTCCAGTAATCGTGTTCCAGTAGTTCAATTATTCGGATATTCCTCTTCATAACGTCAGACATGGCTCTCAGGTTTTCTTCAGCTTCTCTAATTATGTTATTTGACTTTTTTCCTGTTTGTTGAAGTCTGCCTGGTTATCCTCTAGATCATTGGTGCTATTCTCATTCTCTGTCTCCTCCAGTCTGTTGGCCACATGTGTGAATTTGCTACTGATTTTTTGTTATCTTGTCCCTTAGCTCTTGTATTTCCTGTGGTGTGTGGCCTTTATCTCCTCTATAATTCTATCCTTTTTCTGTATTGCTTCTCATATCCTGTATGATTGACTCTAAGTTGCATTCTGAAATTTTCTGTTTGGCAGGTCAATGTCTGCCTCATCTATGACTGCTATTCGATCCAGGTCATTCTCTGACATTGGATTTTGTTTTTCTTGTTTTCTTGTTGAGGCTTTTTGATGCATCTTGTTTCTGTGTCAATTTCGAGGAACTAGGAGTCAAAGATCTCTGGGCTCGCTTTTTGGGAGATTGATGTTAATGTGTCTGCCTGTCGCCAACTACCTTGGGTGTTGCATTTCACCTTTGTCCCACTAGAGTTTCCCTCTCACCCTAGCCTACTGGGAATCTGTTGTTTGGAGAACAGGTTGTATGGCCCTCTCCGTACTCAGGCTCTGAGGTCAACCTGCCTTGTGTTCCAGCAGCCCTTAGGCCTTCATTGATGTCCAGTTTTATGGCATGGTGTTCCGAGAAGGAAGTCTCAGTAAGTAATCTCTATGTGCTTGAATTTACTCAGGCTCGACTTGTGCCCCAGCATGTGGTGTGTTTTCAAAAATACACCATGTGCACTGGAAAAGAATGTGATTTTTTTCTTTCTTTCTTTTTTTTTGCATTTGGATGGAAAGCTTTATATATGTCTGTCTGGTCCAGTCACCTAATTGTAGTGTCTAGCTCTGTAGCCTCCTTGCTGAGATTCCTTCCCATTGATCTATCTTTCTTTCATAGCAGTGTATTAAAGTCACCTACTGTGCTTGTTGAATATGTGATTTCTTTTTTCATCTTTTGAAGTTTTTTTGACAAACTTTGCAGGTTTCTCATTAGGTGCATAGGTATTATACTCACTGATTCCTAGTTAACTGATTATTTGAGCATTATGTATTACCCCCCCTGATCTCTTGTTATGGTTTGCACCTTAAAGTTAATTTTGTTGGAGATTAGGATTGCAAACCCTGTGGGGTTTTTTTTAAGTTGCCCTTTGCCTAGTATATTTTACACCAGCCTCTTATTCTTAGTTTTTGGGTTTTTTTGTCTGCAAACTTAAGATGTGTGTCTTGCAGGCAACAGGTTGATAGGTGATGTTTTTTGAGCTAGTCTGCTAGTCATTGTTTTTTCACCTTCTGGATTCATTGCTGTCATCTCGTACCTTTTGTGTTGAGTGTTTTTGGGGGTTTTTTTGGTTGGTTTGTTTTAATAATTTTATTAGGGGCTCATACAACTCTTATCACAATCCATACATACATCAATTGTGTAAAGCACATTTGTACATTCATTGCCCTCATCATTCTCAAAACATTTCCTCTCCACTTAAGTCCCTGGCATCAAGTCCTCATTTTTCCCCCTCCCTCCCCCAACCCCCTCCCTCATGAGCCCTTGATAGTTTATAAATTGGTATTTTGTCATAGCTTGCCCTATCCGACGTCTCCCTTCACCCACTTTTCTGTTGTCCGTCCCCCGGGGAGGAGGTCACATATAGATCCTTGTCATCGGTTCCCTCTTTCCAACCCATTGAGTGTTGTTTTTTTTAATCTCCCTTCATATCAGTGTGCTGTTTGTTTTGGAGGTTTCCTTCTTGCCTTTTCCCCCTGAGTCCATGTTTTCTTGGTTATTGTTATCAGTGCATTGGCTTCTGTGTGAAGCTGGGCTTTATGGTGTTTTCCTGCTTTTGCTTGGTGGATCTTAGTCTTCTGACCATAATGAGTCAGCAAGGATCTTTGCAGGGTTGGGTGTCTTATTGTTTGAGTTTTTCCTTGTCCTGGAAGACTCTTATCTCGCCATCTATCTTAATTGGTAGTTTGGCGGGGTAGAGGATTCTCAGGCAGGCACTTTTGTCTTTCAGCTTCCAGAAGATGGTACTCCACTCTCTCCTTCTCTTCATGGTTTCTGCTGATAGGTTTCTGCATATTCTTACCTGAGCACTATTGTATGTGACTGCCTTTTTTTCTCTTGCTGCTCTTAAGATTATTTCTTTTTCCTCAAAGTTGGACAATTCAACTATTATATGCCTTGGTGGTGAGTTCTTCCTGGGGTTTAGTCTAATTGGTGTCCTTTCTGCTCCTTGTATGAGCATCTGATTCTCATTCATTAAGGTGGGGAAGTTTGCTTTCAGACATTTCCTCGCTAATTTAGCTGTTGATTCTTTGATGTGTCTTGTTCTGATAAACCAATTATTTGAGTATTGTTCTTCTTAATAGCATCTGTCTTTGATCTCAGGTTTTCTTCTGTCAGAGGAAACCCGCCTATAAACACCCTAAGGGCCAGTAGGCACAATTGTATGGCTATAATATATAAAGATTAAATGTACAAATGTGCTTGACAGAATGAATGTATGTATGGATTGTGATAAGAGTTGTATGAGTCCCCAATAAAATGATTAAATATATATAAAAATTATAATAAAGTCATACAGGATAGGAAAGATAGGAGAGAGAATAAAACAAAAGCGTCAGACACGTTTTAAGGTAGCATGCTCACCTTAGCCCCTCTTGATGATCCACATGGAACTGGAAGAAGAGAGAGCGCCTTTATTATCTTGGGACATTTATAAGTAGCCATAAGGCATGCATATTCAGTAGTTACATGCATTACAACTTGGGTGCTATCTACATTAAGGTCCTTGAGCTCATAGGTGAGGAAACCTAGTACCTGCATTGGGAGAAGGTATGCAGGGGGTTGGGTGACATGATGGAAGGAGAGAGCAAAAGGATGTCTGCTTCTATAGGGAGAGCAGAGCTGTTAGGGGAGTATCTGTGGGAATGACTTTTCAAGCAGGATCATGGACTTGGATTTTACCTCTATCTTACCAAAGTGGAGGCTTTCCTACCATGGAATACTATCTTTCCAAATTCCCTCTATTATAACTTAGGGAATATAGTCCTCATCATATTTACCTCAGTGTTAGCTTCCCACTTTTTTCCCACCTGTTTGTCCTTATTTTCTGCCTTAATTGTCCTTGAGATTATTGATGAGATCATTCATGAGATCCATAATCTTTTGTTTAGCTTCTGCTACCTTATCCTTTAGCTCCTATATTCCCCTTCGGTGCATGGACTTCATCCCTTCTATCGTGGAGTTCATCCCCTCTATCATTGCATCCTTATTCTGCATTGCTTCCCTTGTCTACTGTATTACTCCAACCAACCTTCTAAAGATGTCTTTTTGTGGTAGATCCACGTCTGATTCTTCTATGAGCATTGTTAATTCCACTGTTGTGTTTTGTCTTTCTTGTTTTCTTGTTGAGGGTGTTGCGCTGTTGCTGTTTGTGTGTCCTTTTGGAAAAAGTTGGCGTCGTGTTTCTGGGAGACCTAGGGGCCCTGAGCACGTTCTCTGTGTGACTGGTAAGAGTGTTTTCGAGGGCTTGCTGTGGTGGTGGATCGTACTGCTATATATGCAGGGTGCTGCGGCGACTCAGTGGCCAACAGCTGTAGGGGGTCCTCAAAGAATGGAATGAGGCTCGTGATTGTAGGTATGTCCCTGGGCCAAGTTGGGAGAAGCCTGCAGTTTGACCATGGGTCTGGTCTGGGCTGTCACGTTACAATTTTCAGCCTTTCTTTTAAAAGGCACCAAATAGAAGAAAACGCTGCCATGGGAGGGGGTGCCAAGTGAAGGCGGAGACAGGCCCACTACTGCTAATGCAGTTGCCAGTATATGACAGGGAAAGCCTCACTGCTACAGTTGTTTGACCTCTCTCCTCTTTAAGAAAATGACTTATTGTGGCATTAAGAAAAAGGAATTTACTGCAATCCTCCCACCCCGTTCTGTCTCTGCTATGATGTTAAAAAGTGAGGAATGTGCAAATATGCTTTCTACCCCTGATTTTCACTGCTAATGGCAGGGGTACTCAAACTGCGGCCCGTGGGCCACATGCGGCCCGCCGAGGACACTTATCTGGCCCACAGGGTGTTTTTACCCCGTTTGTCTTTTTACTTCAAAATAAGATATGTGCAGTGTGCATAGGAATTTGTTCACAGTTTTTTTAAAACTATAGTCCGGCCCTCCAACAGGAATGAGGGACAGTGAACTGGCCCCCTGTTTAAAAAGTTTAAGGACCCCTGGCTTATGGATTTAGAAACGGGGTGAGGAATTGGGGTATCATACTCCCAATTTGGGGCCTGTGCCTGGGTCAGAGTAGATGAGGGCGGGGTGCTCTTTTTGGAGAGGGGGGTTTATGCACATCCACCCTCTTTCATCTCACATCAGGATGGGGGTTTTGAGAAGCTAGCTGCTTGTAACTCAGCCCCTATCCCTGCCTAAACAGCCACTATTTATTGTATTGCAATGATCGGGAGGAATTTAGATAAGGTGGTCCTGCCCCTGGGGTGAAGGGTGAGGCATTAGCCCTGAATATGATGAGGACATCATCCCTGATGAAATCATCATCAGTGTAGAAAACACTCTGCATGAGCACTAGGAAACTGGGTCCCACATGCTGCTGAGGCAAGGGGTATATACATGTCATGGTATGTACATGGACTGCTTCTGTTGCTGGCCCTAGAAGGGAAAATCCATCCATGTCTCTGTAAGGGTCCCTTAGCTACCTACTTATAGCTACACACACTGAGAATTTCTTAATTCCTTGGTGAACTTCTGCATGAACTTGAGCCTTGTGATGCTGTCAGCAACATGATTTGGGGTTGTTGCCCATTGTTTCTGAGTGGTAAACCCAGGAAGGACTTTTTATTTTATTTTAAAGCAACCCTACCACCTATTTCAAGTTTTAAAGTTAGAGGTTATAAAAAAAAGATGAGCATCATGTTTGGCTACTCAAAGCAGCCAGATCTGAGCTGTGGACAAAGTGGCACCTCTACTTGTGTGGCCTTGAAAAGGGCCGCCTTTACTGGAGAGGAAGGGGTTCTCTATCCCTGCAGAGAAGAATAAACAGGTTTACGATGGGTGGCCCCACTGCACAGCTGAACTGGAGCTGAGGAAGCCTACTCCTAGGTCCTGGTTCTGCACTCCTCTGTTCCCCATCCCCTTCAGCAGGACTGGGATGAGGATAGTCACAGGCAAAGTAGTCCTTGAAGGGGGGCAAAGAGATGTCTAACAACAGGCACACCCCAGGCCCTCCCAAACAGCTTGTGATGGGCACCTTAGTCCACATTGGACATATCATTGTAGTTTACGTGAAAGTCGAAGAACCTGGAAGGCACTGGTGTAAGGAAGACAGAAGTTAGAACAGCTGCCTGGACATCCCCACTGTGGCTGATGAGGAGCTGCCCTGCCACATGCCATCGCTTTAGTCAGGCCTTCATGAGCCTTCTCCTCACTCCAAGGCCCTGGTCCTCCAGAACCTGTGGTTGCAAGTGGTTCTCCTGGAGGCATGTTCCACTCGCCACTTCCTTGGTTTCAAGAAGTACATTCCGCAGTGCCAGCCCATGCTAAGGGCACATAATTAGTACTCAGTGGGTCTTTTGTGAATGTATGGCAAGCCAATTGGTCAAACAGAAGACAAATGTGTCAGTCTGTAATATCAAGTGTATGCCAGTTTTCAACACAGTGGTGGTATCAGTTAAGCAATTCATAGAACCTGGAATAAGAACACATGCAAAATAGACCACCTTTCAGTCATCAGATGCTTAGGCCGCATTAAGGCACTACTCGACCATCCCAAGTTTCTTCTCTCTTAAGTTCCCATGCCAAGCTGAGCCAAAGAAGTCAAGTCTCCTTTATGGGATTCTATCAGAGCCTGGAAAACGGCTACAGAAATGGTGGGCCCAGTTCTATTAGTGGCTGGGTAGATATGAAAGACATTTGAAAGATAACACCACTTTGGAGCTGTGTCTTGCTTTCCCTCAACAGTACATATTAATATAGCCATTTGCACCACTGTACTCTCTCACACAGGTATAGCCCACTGTGGTAGAATTGGGTCTCAAAATACTAAATAATTCATCGTGTGAATACTGCAGACAAAGTTACCTTCAGCTTCACTTTAAACTGATTTTTTCTTTTTGGCATTTAGTTTTCCTTTATGTATCTCAGTTTTACAGATAAGGGAGCAGAGGCTCACACTGCTTAGGTGGCATGACGAGGGTTGTACAGTTTCTAAGTGGAGATGACAGAGTCAAATCTCCACTTAAAAAACTGAATTTTTATGGTAACTATAAAGCCTAAGAAATAAAAACCAGTGGTAGACCTGAAATATAAAAAGCCTTGGGGAGGAAAAATCAGTCTTAAACAACTTTCTTTCTAACAACAACAAAAGAAATCAAAGTGAAGAAAAAGTGAAAAGAACCTGCGACAAATCCAGGGGAGGAACGTACTGGAACTCCAGCACTAATTCAAAGCACCAAGTATGGGAAGAGGGAGAAAAGAGACCGGACGAAGACTGGACCGACTCTTGGCAAAAGGGATCTTTCCACCAGCAGCATGCTTTACCTGCTTCCTCCTACCTTGGCGTCCGTCCCCAACATGTAGGGAAGGCAGATGGCAGAGCAGTGAAGCCAGACAGATGGTGCACGCTAATGACCTCATTTTTCAACCTCCCTTCCCCTCACAAATCCTCATTACCTACCATTTCTAACAGGAAATTAATACCTCCAAAGAGGTGTTGTGGTCAGCTCACAATTACAGACACAAAGTATAAGCGAAAGCACCTTGGCTACAGATCCCCTTTCTGTCTCTGGCTGCACCATTTCACTGTCAGGTCAGTCTTGCTCACCTTTTTAGCTCATTGCACCACAAAACATCTTTGTCATTCATGACGATGGGAAAGTTGGTTTTCCCCTGTCTGATCAAGTTCAACTTGTGGTTATTGTCTGTACTTTCTTTAACTTTGCTGTCGTGTGTTGTACTTATTTGCCATGGCTGAAGAACAGCATATATTGTTCTTCTTTGCCATTGTTGTTGATCTCATGTACAACAGAATTGCATTTTTTAAAATTTATTTAAAGCGAACACTTACTAAATGGTACAAGGACAAGATAACTATGGAATCATTTCATTTGGATGATGAAGGCCATTAGCTCCCGTTATAATGATGTTCAAGGGTTTGCTGATATACAGAACTTTTAAAATGACATGGGAGGTCAAAGAAAACTCACAGTATACCATTTTTTCTATTGTTAATTCAGTCACTTGTGCATCATTGAGGGGTGTGTGTGTGTGTGTGTGTTTAATTTTTTTTAATAATTTTATTGTGGTCTCTTACAGCTCTTATCAGAAGCCTTAAAACCATCCATTGTGTCAAGCACTTTATTACATATGTTGCCATCATCATCTTCAAAATATTTTCTTTCTGTTTGAGCCCTTGGTATCAGTTGATTGAGGGCTTTGGGGGTCAATTTCTAAAATATGTTTTGTTCACAAATTTGTCCATTTCATTTTTAATTTGTTGGCATATAATTGTTCATAGTATTCTTTGTTAACTTTTTATTTCAGTAGTGAGTGATAGTGATATCTTATGTGTATGTTTTTTAATTAATTATTCATGTCTTCTCAATTGTTTTAGTCATTCTAAGTAAATTATCACTTATATTGATTGTCAAAGAACTAACTTTAGGTTTCATTGGTTCTCTATTGTTTTTGTATTTTATTATATTTATTTCTACTCTGATTTTTATTTTCTGAGTTTTGTTTTTCAGTTACACTTTTTTACTTCTTTAGATTTGAAGTTAGGATTTGACTAAAATGTATCCTTAAATAGGGTGTTGAATTTGAAAGTAGTGTTTATCTTAATTTCATATGGTGCACTGTTTATTCTTTTAGGCTTTGATTCTCTTAGATGTCACCCCAGACCAGTCATTGGTTGATGAAGGAATGGCTCGGGAAGTCATTAATCGCATCCAGAAACTTCGAAAGAAGGTCTGTTTGTCAGTTTAAGGAAAGTATAGTGTGTCTGTGTGCGCGCGCGCGTGCGCGCGCATGCTTGATATTACTCAATAATCTCCTATCCATTCACATGATACTCTGGCAATGATGGGCCTTTGTCTTTCCCTACTTGTTCAGTCATAAGCTGGATGTTTTTGGTTTCAACTAACCTGTGCTTTGACTGCTCTCATTCTTTTTTACTTCCTTATGGTTTCTACACAATTACTGCTATGGAAACTGGTGATATTAACATGCAGAAAGTAATTAGAGGTGACTGTGGTTGTGCTTTGGGAAGGCAGAAGTGACTATGTATTGAAAAACTCATTCAGAACATTAAATTTGCAGGACAGATGTGTTAGTTTGGGTTAACTAGAGAAATAAATCTAGAGACACTTGTGTGTAAGAGAGCTTTTTAATCAAAGAGGAATTTTATATTGAGAAAACATCCCTGCCCATTCCAGATAAGTCTGATATTAGCTCAGAAGTCCAAAACTAGTTCATGAAACCTTCTTCAAACTCACATAGCCACTAGCCGTGATGCCAAATGCAGGGAGCTCACAGGTTGGTGGGTGTAACGTCTTATGGATCCAGTGGTGGTGGAGGCCTCTCAGAACCAGTGTGGGTTTCTACATGGCTCTTCAACAGAAGGTGAAGCAGAGAGAGAGGCTCTCCTATGGTGTGTTAATCTGGGTACTTTAGAGAAACAAAACCACAGAAACTCATGTAAAAGAGAGAGTTTTATATAAAGGGTGAGTGCACATCAAGAAAACATCCCAACCCAGTGCTGCACAAGTCCACCATCAACCCATATGTCTGACACCAATCCACAAAGTCCTCCTCCATCTCACAAAACAAGGCAATGATGCCGACTGCAGGAGGAAAGCAGAGTCAGTGAATGTGTAAACATCTCAGCACTGGCAGGGGTCTCCACACAGCTGCTCCAGCAGGCAGGACTGCATCTGGGTAGTTCCATGCAGCTTCTCCTTGGGGATGTCTTGCAGGAAGTGAGCCTTGTCAGTTGAAACAGGGAACTGGCTAAGGCAGCTGCACCCTGGTCCGACCATCAGAAAGCAAGAGACACAAAAACTGGAAAGGCGAGGCTCACCGACCCATTTATCCCTCCACCCTTCAATTAACCCTACATGTGTTTATCGGCCAGGTTGGCACAATAAACTAACTACCTCATGTGGCTTGTCAACAGAAAGACAAAGACGGTGAGAGAGAGGAAGTTCCCAGAGTCCTCCTAAGAAGGCCATGCCCACATGGAGGCAACATCGGTCTGTGATCTGACCAACCGCCTTAGACTCCATCCATTCCCTCTTAATACCCTCAAGTTGACAAGAGATTAGATTGATAAGAACCCATATGAATATAGAGTGAAGATGCTGCCAAATTCCTGCCAGGCAAGATAGCTTAAGAGTTCATACCCCAAAGAAGTTGTTGACAAATAGGATTCCCCAGTATATCTTCCACTCCCAGACAGGTATTTGAGGCCTGTACTTTAAGACTAGTTTAGCAGATATTAAGAGTGTATTTGAGTGAACTTTGACTTTGATCAGTGGGTTCTTAATTTCTTTTTGTTTACTGAACATGCATAAAATGTTGATTGGGCTTAAAAAAAGATAGGCCCTACCTTAAAAGATAGAGCAGATGAACCAGAAGCAGTTTACTTTAATGCATTTTATCACCCAAGGAGGAATGTGGCAGATAATTGCCCTTTATAACTTTTTAGAATGTGTTTATTGATCCTTGTTCAACAGTTTGTTTTTATTAACAAAGTATTATTTCCTGTTTCAATTTTCTCTGTATTTTTTTAGTGCAATCTGGTTCCAACTGATGAAATAACGGTTTATTATAAAGTAAATTCAGAAGTAAGATATCTGAATAATGTTATTGAAGACCACACAGATTTCATATTTGCCACTATAAAGGTTCCTTTGAGACCATATCCAGTTCCTACATCAGATAAAATCCTTATTCAAGAAAAAACACAGGTAAATTCTTAGTTATATTGACCTATTTAAGATTTTTTAATTATTTTTATTTTTAAGTTTATACTGTTACATTTTACTCTTCTCCAACATAGAATGATGATAAAGTACTAGTTC